TGTATTTTACAAATATTCCCCTAGTTTCTTTGTCATCAGGAAATTGAAGGAAAGATATAAAGTTCTGTTATTTTTGGCGCTACTTTTGCCGCCAACACCCCCTCCCCCCCACTACCCCATATATCCCTTAACTTAATTTTTATGTTTTTCTCTTTTTACAATTTCAGTGATGGTGCAAATAAGGGAAAGTTTATTGTAATTTTATTAATCTATCGATTTCTAGGGATGGCAAAAAAAGTTATTGTTCAACAACATGGAATTTAGACAACTTTTTTTGGTTAAAAAGGGGAAAAGCATAACTTTTTATATTGCCTTATTTTAAGATAAAAAAGTTAAAGTTTTTAATATCAGCTGACATTTAACCCGGAGGTTTATCAATGATTTTAGATTTGATTAAAACCCATATGTCCATATATTTAAAGTTTGGAAGAATATGTTCACAGATTTTCTACTGGCGTCAGATAAAAACATTCTAGATAATGCTTTCTAGACAAATCGTTGATACTGTGTATTGTAAATAATTAGAAATTATAATTGCTCGTTAAAGGGACTGTTTGTTGAAGGGACTGTTCGTTAAAAGGACAGTTCGTTAAAGGGACTGTTCGTTAAGGGACTGTTCGTTAAAGGGACTGTTCGTTAAGGGACTGTTCGTTAAAGGGACTGTTCGTTAGAGGGACTGTTCGTTAAAGGGACTGTTCGTTAAAGGGACCGCTCGTTAAAGGGACTGTTCGTTAAAGGGACTGTTCGTTAAAGGGGACTGGTCGTTAAAAGGACTGTTCGTTAAAGGGACTGTTCGTTAGAGGGACTGTTCGTTAGAGGGACTGTTCGTTAAAGGGACTGTTCGTTAAAGGGACCGTTCGTTAAAGGGACTGTTCGTTAAAGGGACTGGTCGTTAAAGGGAATGGTCGTTAAAAGGACTGGTCGTTAAAGGGACTGTTCGTTAACGGGACTGTTGCTGTAATTTAAAGTGACCGTCTATTTATCAAGGGACATGCCTGATTCACAACGGTACCCTTGTCACCTTTATCTGATCCCAAATGTGGAATTGATTATAGTCATTTATCTAGATTGAAAAGTGTTTAATTCTGATATTTTCTCCATTTCTTTCGTGTATAGTAAAAATCTGCAAGTATAGAGAACCCATATATTGAAATAATCAATATTCAAAGTTAAAAACGTGGATATCTCATTTTTGATCGGACCCAGTTTTTCAGGTATACCGTACTGTGAATCGAACATGCCACTCCATAAATGGAGGGTCACTTAAAATTACGTTTACAGTTCCTTTAACGTGTATAACTAAACCACTTGTAGATGGCTACAGTTTAAGAAACTAAACCGCTTGTAGATGGCTACAGTTTAAGAAACTAAACCACTTGTAGATGGCTACAGTTTAAGAAACTAAACCACTTGTAGATGGCTACAGTTTAAGAAACTAAACCACTTTTAGATGGCTACAGTTTAAGAAACTAAAAATGAAAGTGATACAAGTGTCCAAAACTGTTTTAAAGGGAGTACAGACATAATTTCAAGTGACAGATCCATTTACAGAGTTTCACTCTATAAGTGACCTAAGGAATTGTATTTTTCCAGATAAAAGTTGAAAGGGTTCACTTGCACCCTAGTTTCAGTAGAAGTAAATATTTCCATTTACTGATAGCGCCGATTGAAGGATTCATAACTCTGATTGGATAATGAGATAGATAGAAAGATAGATGTTACCGCAATACTATTTCTATTAGTTTAGAATAGACAACAAACTCATGACTGAACCCTGATTGGATCTGGCGCTAATGGACTCGGCATACAGGATAAAGTCTACAGACTCTTTAACTAAAGCATATAAGCTAATCCTATCTATTAGACTCTTGAATGCCGAGTCCATTAGCGCCTGATCCAATCAGGGTTCAGTCATGTGTTTGGTGTCTATTCTGAACCAATAGACATAGTATGGCGGTAACATCATCTTTCTATCTCATAATCCAATTAGAGATATGAATCCTTCAATCGGCGCTATCAGTAAATGAAAATATTTACTTCTACTGAAACTATAGTGATGATACGATCAAACTTCAATTGAAAGCCCATATTTAAGGAAACGTAAAGCGCACTCTACGCAATCTGAACTTAATATGCCAAAAAATAAGCGTGTGCGCGTTCACCGCGTAAACTTACCGAAAAAAATTCCGGCGCGCAGTCTCGTGGGAACTTTTCACTATTCACACTTTTCCAAAACCACACTGAGCAAGGTGAAAAATGTGCTAGGGTCGAGGATGAACTGTGCCTGAAAAAGTTTGCATATTGCAGGATGAATTTGAAACCTTGTCCCCCATTGGTCAATCTGAACTTGTTGACCATCAAGCAGCGCCCCCTGGGAACAGTCCCACGGAGGACGAAGAAAAAAGAAAACATATTTCAATGGTCAAATGTTTTGTTTTGATGCTTGACCATTGAGGGTTGCGGAGAAGGGTTGGGTGTTCTCCCCTCTCCCTACTCTACGGTAAGGGCGGAGTTCAACCATTGTTTTATCTCGTAACCGTTAAAAAGTTCTCATGGGCATTAATACTCACATGGACACTAACAAATAATCTGCATATTTGCGCAGGAAACTTGAGAAAGGTTTAATTAACGAAACTCAGTTTGGTTTCAATATAAAAAATGTGTGTTTTTTTACGTATTGAGTAATATTTCTCAAAACCGAAAATTTCTGATTAAACTATGAGATCAGCATTGATTTTACATCAAAATTGAAACTGAGTGCTCGAAACCGGGTTCATTAACAAGAAAGTCTCAAAAGTTTCAACTCCTTTTGCACATGTGTATATTTTTGCACTTGTATGTATAGGTACGTGCACATACACATACAATTACAGTTTAACAGTACAACCTTACACACAGTAACTAACTGGAACTAGAAAACTTGAAGGGTAAAAGTAAAGAGATATTTTGTTTATTTTTTGTTCCCTGTAGCTTCATTTGATTCGCGAATGTTAGCTACAAAACCGTAAACTATGCTAGAACGGAGAGATATAGAAAATCTACTGCACCTATATGCGGAGCAAGGAGTATGGAATAGAAGGGAGATACAACTGACGCGGCCCGCCCTACCATATGATTTTACATGGTTTGCAGACGGATACTCCGTTTGTATAAGAAATATTCGCATGTACAATTACCCGCGTATACAATAACCTTTTCTGAATTTTTCTTATACAAATGGAGTACCCGTCTGCAAAGTATGTATAATCATATGGTAGGGCGGGCCGCGTCAGTTGTATCTCCCTTTTATTTCATACTCCTTGATGCAGAGGCAGTTAAACTTCTTATCATTCTTACACTGTGATATAAATATACGATATATTATTTCATCTTTCATAATATAATATATATTTCATTTAATATTATCTCATTTTATTGGGTATGTTTATATCATATTATAATTTTATTTTATAAATTAAGATCATTACTCTTCGCTAAACCCTAGAATATGTTCAGTCAGTGTTCTGCAAAATGTAAAATTTTAGATCCAAATTCTAAACTCAAATATAGATGTTAATAATCAAGGGAAAAAAAGAAAGAAAAAATATTTGAAATCAATATTATTTTGTAGATCAGTTGTATGCCTTTAAATATTTTTTACATATTTTCATCTTTATCTTTTCTTTTAAATATTTGTTGGTGTAAAGTAAATTAGAATGTCTAGTTGGACACATGTTTCATCTCTTAGTAATTCATTTGAATTTAAACTTGTCTTACATCTCCTCTTAACTCTCGTGGGAGATGTATTCTGGACTCTGCACCATCCTCGAACTTATTTTCTGAACTCTGCCAAGATGAAACTGACCACTGAAGAGCTTCTGCCTGTCTCAACTTTATAAGTTTGAAATTAAACCTCTTTGAAACAAATAGTGAAGTAAATATCTTGAATCTAAACTAGATAAGAGAAGTGTAGAAGATGAATAGTGAAGTAAATATCTTGAATCTAAACTAGATAAGAGAAGTGTAGAAGATGAATACTTAAACAAGATAAATAACATATTTTAACAGAAAACTAAAAAAAAAAAATTTTATACAAAAATAAAAAAAAATATGTTAAAATTATCAAAATCAATTATCATCCAATGCACCCAAGAAGTAATTCAAATTGTTATCAATACAAAGGAATTGAGTTCCTGCCACAAATTATGATTTTCTAATCTCTTTACAACCCAACTTCTTAGACCATTCATAATTTAAACTTTTAACTCTGTCAGATCAAATAGTCCAAATTTGAAATATCAAAGAATTACATCACCAAGTTGCAAAGATATAGGGATTAGAAAACTTGAGTTTGTAACCTAGACTTAGATACTATATGATACTAATCATAACATCTAAAAAATGGAATTGTTGATAAAATTTTTTCTCAATCGAATTGGATCAGTTAGGTTTTGCTTTATTAATACTTGAAGAAGCAATTAACAAATCTACGAATTCAAAACATTTTAATTTATTCCGTTCAAATTCTTTCTTCTCAATAATGCCTGATTCAAAATCCTAAAAAATTAAAAAGTTTGTTATTTTAAGTTTATCGATATTTTTGTTTAAACTTGCGGGGAAACCAAATTATTTCATATTTAGATAATATTAATTGATATCGGAAATATACAAAGTGTCTCTGAAAAAAGTGTTTAAGCTTTTTCGCGATCTTTGAGTGTACTAAAAGTGTTGCGGTCAGGTACAATTTTCTACGCGGGTCGTCGATGAAACATTTTTCTCTAAAATGCCGTTTAACCTGTAAAATTCCTCAGTCTCTTTTCCAAAAATAAAAAAGTATGAAAGGGGAGGGGGTGTCGGATAGTACTAATTATTGAATAATGATTCCTTACCAAACTCTCTACAAGTTAGCTGTTTATTTACCTGTTTATTTACCTGTTTATTTACCTGTTTATTTACATGTTTATTTACCTGTTTATTTACCTGTTTATTTACCTGTTTATTTACCTGTTTATTTACCTGTTTATTTACCTGTTTATTTGCCTGGCTCCAGACCGGGATTAGAATACGGAGAACACGTCCCAGTGTTACATTTACTAGAATATTTAGAACTAGATTGGGAACCCAGCTTGGTCTGGAAACTAAACTTTCGCTATAAAAGTCGATCACGCTCGACTTAGAGTTTAAACTAAGGTTAGAACATTCCCGTTGTTCCCCCACCAACATTTGAGGCAAATGAGTCAAGGGGTTCAGGAGTTATGATCGGACATATAAACAGACAAACTTAACAGAGACCAGTGCTTTACATATATGAATTACGCAACCTCGTGGATTCAAAGTGTTTTTAGTAAGTTTACAACTAAATATTTTGTAACGATCTAATTATGTAACAGTTCGTCCAAATGAATGATAAAATTGCTATTTGGATTGTTGGATTAAGCCTTTCTTCAGCCACAAAAAATATTAGATTTATAAATAACTTGATTTTACAAATGATAACATTTTTTGACAATACTGTTCTTCTATACTCAGTTCTTTATACTCAGTTCTATACTCAGTTCGAATATAGGTTCTGAAACAGATCTAGAAGCTGGAGAGATACTTGAACAATACGTTCTTGTTCTATTCTACTCAGTTCTATACCTGGATCTAATCTCTGTAGTAGATCTATAAGCTGGAGAGATACTTGAACAATACGTTCTTGTTCTTCTCTGCTCAGTTCTCTTCCTGCCTGGGCATACCAACTTACAAGAACAAACTTTACCTTCAAACATTTTAAAAATAAAATTTTCAAAATATATAGTTTACACTATACTACTGTTTAAAAGAGACTTAGAACTAAATTTTATCCAAAATCCGAAATCAACTGAAGCAAATCTTAAAATTCGTTGTTTTAACTGTTTCGCTCGAAAATTTCGTTTTTTCTTTTGCGGATGGTTTTTCCAATACTGTAGAACGAAAACCAAACTGTAATAGATTTGTTTAAGTTCTAAATTTTGAACATAGATGAGTTGGAATTATAAAGAAACCGATTACTTTCATAAAACTATAATCTGCTAATCCATATATCTTTGAACCCGGTGTGGTGGATTTTTGCTGTACTAAGAATTCATAAATTGAAATATCAATGGTCTGCACGATCAGAATAGGGAGGATAAAGTTTGAGTTTGAGGCGAGTAAATCAGTTTCTTTCTACCTGTGATATTAGATAATGGTTTGGATGAAGCGAGGTTTCCAGGACGGAAATAGTTTTCTCCAGGATCCCGGAGTCAGGTTCTCCTCCCAGATTGTTCTTGATGTTACTCTCAGCTTTCCTGATAACCCGGAGAACATAATCTAACCCAGAGATCCCCTGGCAGGTTTCACACCTAGCAAGTTACTAATTTATAAGTATATTAAGGGCAAATTCATGCGATTAATGAAAGATAATTAGATGAGAATAGCGTAAAATTTATTAGACCTACACGGTCAAACCCTGACATAACTGTAATTGAAGGATCAAGCTTTTATTCTCAAACTAACAGGGCCCACATTGAATATCGAAATCAAACGTTCCAGATTAACGATGCTCCACATAAAAGTTCTGACCTTGGTAAACCTACCTCCGGAGTAAAGACGTGTATTGAAGAATTTACCCGGAGCAGTCTTGAATCTACCTCCAGAGTAAAGACGAGTATAGAAGAATATACCCGGAGCAGTCTTGAACCTACCTCCAGAGTAAAGACGTGTATGGAAGAATATACCCGGAGCAGTCTTGAACCTACCTCCAGAGTAAAGACGTGTATGGAAGAATGTACCCGGAGCAGTCTTGAACCTGACACAAAATCCCACTAGTTCTAGTCTCGAGCTCCGTAGGATCCTCACACCTAGAGCATTTGCACCTGAACCTCCAGTGTTGGTAGAGAAGCTCGGATCTAAACCATCAGTTATAATCCTTCAAATAAGTTTAATCTGAGCTTGTAACTTTTGAATGAGAGAGAATTAAGATAATTAACTAAACTCTTTTTTCGAAACTTTTAAAGCTAGGAGCTCAACTCTTAAGATTTATAAATGTTAAACTTATGAGAAACAAAGTTAACTCATATTCAAAAGTTCTCAGCTCTGGTCTCACTTTTAATAAACCCGTGTAAAATCAGTCTTTTTGCTTTTTCTTAAAGCAGTTAGAGAGAATATTTTTTTCTTAAATTACTTAATTTTTCAAAAAGGTAAAAATGTTGATTATTGCCTGCGAATATTACCAAGTTTAAAAAATAAGAATTTTTTTGAACAAAATTTAAAGCAATGATTTATTTTTCTCCGACCGTTTTATCTTCCTTTTATCTGATCATTCATCTGTTTTCTGTTCTTCTCTTTTAGATCTACGCATTCTAGTCTCTTGTAGACAAGAGAAAAATGCATTTTGACGCATATTTCTGATTCATACTATTCTTTAATTTGATATCTCGGCGTCAGAAATATCACATTAAGTATAATAGAAAGTTACTGTTTGTGAGTAGATATCCGTGTATTTGAAGTTTTCGGTAATGTTTGACTCGACAACCAGGTTAGCTTCAACACAGTGTCCTCAATATTCTTACACATTGGAAAAAAGTCACTGAGCAGTAAGCAGGGTTTGCAAATTCTGAGGATTTCCATTGTCAGAATTCCGCCTTAATAATAACAAATGGGATGAGAAATCGGAGTGGATTTTTTCGACAAAAGAATTCTTGATTCTTGTAAGTTCATCTCAGACACAGTGCTTCAGAATACGGCCTTGTCTACAGAAATATTTTCCTTGCAGCTGGCAGAATATAAACCGGTATCATAGTGCATGGTGCACAACCTATCAGGATTTTACTTTTTATGTTTCCATTTTAATTGTTTCTGGCAAGAGGGAAGGGGAAGAGAGAGAGTGAGAACCCCCCCTTCTCTGCACTATTATATTTTTTTCCAAGTAGGGCGTACTGCCATGTTATTCCACAAAGGGTTCTGTTCAGCTACAAGAAACTGGAGAGAGTTGTATAAGAACCTGACTGTTCTGAGCTCCCTTGATGCTTACACATAGAACCAGATTCAATCGAAAGAATTAAAGTCTTTCTGATGAGTTCGGACACTGAATAACATTTAACCAGGCTTGTTATTAAGGAGTGTATTTAAAGCTGCCGGTAGCAAAATCTGGATCCTGCTAGGTAAAAAACCTTCATTCTCCAGGTTAATACAGCGTTAAAAGATTAATGCAGGCCTTTAATGTTTCTTGTAGTCCCTTTTATTTCTTTACCATTTGTCTGCAGGGGTGTATATGGGGGATATACACCCCTGGCTAAAGTTTCTCTAGTTTTCCATTTTCTCTCTCTCACCCTGTATCTCTGAGTACTTTTAGGAGCGCCGAGCCAGAGCCAGTTGTTGCTGTTCTGAAAGCTAGATGTACAGTGTACACTGTTAAAAGAATAAGTAAATTAATAAAATAAGTCGATTTATAAATGAATGTAAAGGATTATAAACCTTCCTCCTTGGTTGCCCAATATTTAATCCTCCATATCTAGTACTGATCTCAGTACCAGCTCCAATATCTGTATTCGACACTACCCGGATACTTAGATCCTAGAAAGATATATATTTGAAATTATAAAAATTTATTTCTAGAGGGGAAAGTCCAGTTCACAATGGTACTTAAAAAAAATTAATAAGATATCCATGGTAATAATTTTCAAATTTGGTTATTTTCTATTGTGGTCTCTCTACAAAAAGGGACTTCAGCATTTCTGTTGCAGGAAAACAATGTAAGAATTATCCGAATTAAAACTTTTCCAGCCAGAAAAACGACCCTATCTCCCATATTTTTAACCAGATAAAGGTTTCAAGGGTACCTTTGTTAATTGGGAAAATCCCTTTTTAAATTTGGTTAATCAAAATTTCGACGACAATTGCTTTTAATCGTTATTTTCCTTAAATGTACGAAGAAGGCGTGGTTGCATCAAATTTATTAAGAATTACAAAAAAGAGGGGCGCAAAGCGTCCTAAATGTCTCGTATATGCATATATTCAGAAAAGAGTTAAACACAGAAAACGAGAGTGAAAGACGACTTTTCAGTATTCATTTTGTCTCACTTTTATCTTAAAATTTTCGCTTATTTTAAAGATTTTATTCAATCCAGAAGACAGAATTAAGATCGTTTGGTTTGTGACATTTAAAAAAAGTCCTATCCTTACAGGGAATTCTTACATTATATATTTAACTTGTATGTTGGTTGTTTTGGGTTCAATAAACGTAAAAACCGCTGAACCGATCGGGCCCAAATTCGTCGCATGACGGGCCGGAAAAAAAATCTTCAATTTTGTTTTGTTTTAAAATGCACGAAGAAAATGTAGTCGTAGTAAAAGCAACATCGTAAAGCGCCCTGAAAGCCTAGATAAAATAGATTTAATCCTAATAACAGTGGGACATACAACTCTCGAATGGAAGACAACTGTTAGACTCATGTTAAGATTTAAAATAATCCAATGAACATGACTCACAGCAACAGACCCATACGTTGATTTTTAACTATTGATAACAATAAGACCATTAGCTTTATAACAAAAGATTGTTTAAATATCGTTAAAGTTTTTCGTCGACATAAGCGTTATAAACGAAAAAGTATAAAATGCCAAAATCGTGATTGAATTCAATTTCCGGGTCCCACTATTTCTACCTTAGCTATGCTTAGATTTGTGTTTGGAACACAGCTATGGTTCATGAGAGAGTAGACATTATAAACTGCTGAACCCGTGAGCCCAATATCCACCAGAGATTTAGAGTTAGTGAACACTATTCTCATACAGTCCTGGAGCAGCTCCCTGTGCTCCTCGAGGCAGAGAACCTGTTTTAACCCACTGCTTCAAAATTTCAAATCAAATAGAATAAATGGTTAGATTTCAATGTTTAAACCCCGATTTTTTCAAAAATAAAAAAGACCCATAATTTTACTGCACAACTTTTAGATATTTTCAGTGCAAAGAATCATAAATTAACTGTAAAGCTTTGTCTGAAAAAAAGACTGCAATGTCGGACATTTTATTTTTATTTTTTGCAATAGAAAACCATGTAACCAAGTGTTCAGTTTTCAATGGAATACGAAAAATGAAGATAATGTGTTGATGGTTCTTTTAAAATGGACGAACACTTAGATTTGTCTGTTTCCATTAAGTAAGAGTTTGAAATTTTGCCTGGTTTCAGGTTCAGGCCAAGGTTCTCCTTTACTCAGATCCGTGACAGTTTGCTGTAAATATTCAGATTTCAGAAGATATCTTAAAGGAAGAATTATGTCCAGAACGGTTTGAGCATTATCACTTTCTCCGAGTGCACCCTGAAGTAGGGGATTCTGGAAGTACTGGCATTCCAACCTGTGGTTTGCCTTGTCTCCACAGGATTGGTTACAGAGTGGAATATTGCAGGAGAAGCAGGGAACCGAGATCTTGATAGATTTCAAGCATTCAGCACAAACCAGGCCCCTCCCTAGGGACGGTCCGGTCACAAACGGGGGCTCTGTTAAAATTAACTCTTTCTTCTTAATATTCCTGAAAAATATTAAATATTGAAATAAAATGCGGTTTAAGGATAAATTTTAAAATACCTGGTTGATACTAAATACCTCCCAACATCGTCTCTGAACTCAACCCTGGAATTAATAAATATTGTTCTGTTAACATACGCTGTCTTAATATACTTACTCATCGTAGCACTAGTCAGATGAGAGTGTATGCATTCCTACCAGTGCTATGCAGAGTAGAGCCAGACCCTCTCAGATCTTAATTGAGAAGGTCTGTACGGTACTTTGCATGGTACATATAAGATTGTACACTCTCTGACTGGGTCTATACGGTACTTTGCATGGTACATATAAGATTGTACACTCTCTGACTGGGTCTGTACGGTACTTTGCATGGTACATATAAGATTGTACACTCTCTGACTGGGTCTGTACGGTAATTTGCATGGTACATATAAGATTTTGTCTCTCTGACTTATGCATACGATGAGAAAGTATGTTTAAAACAGTGTTGATAGAATCTGACAGAATAGGTTTCATTCCATTAAATCCTATTGGTAGAAATGTATTCAATTTAGAACTTTAAAAAATGCTTTGAAATGAAAAGAGAAGGGTTTCTGTGAACAATAAGAGATGGTTTAACCTCAAAGGAGTTGGTTTAGCCTTAAAAGAGAAGGTTTAATCTGAAAAGAGAACGTTTAGTCTAAAAAGAGAAGGTTTAACCTAAAAGAAGTAGTTTTAACCTGAAAGGAAAAGGTTTTATCTGAAAGGAGAAGGTTTAACCTGAAGTTTTACTCTAAAGAAAAAGAAGATTTAGCATGAAAGAAGGTTTAACCTAAAGAGAAAAGGTTCAACCTGAAAAGACGAGAAGGTTTACCCTAAAAGTAGGTTTAATCTGAAAGGAGAAGGTATACCTTAAAAGGAAAACGTTAAATCTCAAAGGAGAAGGTTCAATCTAAAAGATGTAATGTAAAAGGAGAAGGTTTTATCTAAAAGATTTAATGTAAAAGGAGAAGATTTAATCTAAAAGATTTAATGTAAAAGCATAAGGTTTAATCTGAAAGATTTAATGTAAAAGGAGAAGGTTTATTCGAAAAGATTTAATGTAAAAGGAGAAGGTTTAATATAAAAGATTTAATGTAAAAGGAGAAGGTTTAATCTAAAATATTTAATGTAAAAGGAGAAGGTTTATTCGAAAAGATTTAATGTAAAAGGAGAAGGTTTAATCTAAAAGATTTAATGTAAAAGGAGAAGGTTTAATCTAAAATATTTAATGTAAAAGGAGAAGGTTTAATCTAAAATATTTAATTTAAAAGGAGAAAGTTAATCTATAAGGAGATGGTTTACCTGAACGGAGAGCAAAAGTCTCCATTTCTATGCTCCTTGAGATGTTTTGTACTGCACGCATAAACCAACCTAAATTTGTAAAACTAAATTTTTGTCAAAACAAAAGCTTTGCAGATGCAATTTTGTTGATAAATCTTTCTACAGGGGCCGAATTTAATGAATTTGAGCTAGCTCGCTGAACTACCAACTGCCGGTTCAAATTGGAATCACTGATTCAAAATTAAAGATTTTAGATGATTTGAATCGGTGAATCAAGATTTTAACCTTGGTAGTTTGCAGTAACCTCTCCAATAAATCAGATTCGGTTCCATGACATTAATTTGTATCACTTAAACAAAAGAGAAATAGTAAATATTACTATTTTGATCTCAGCATAGGTGTTTTGATTACTTATAAAAAACCCTAAACTAAGACCTGGAACAAGACCTGGCTCAATGGAAGTTTAAAAGGGAAAATGATCGGTATACAACGGTTTACAACAATTATTGCAACTTTTATTTTATCGAAAATTATGATTGGATAATTCCACTACTATGTACTTTTGTACTATGTACTATGTACTGTACAATTTATGTTAAATAATGTTGTAACATCTAAAGATTACATAGAATATTAAAAAACTCTACTGAGTTATTCCTTTTAATTTAAATAGAAAATTCTTATTATTAAACTTGATCAGTTTTCTTATATAGCTGTATTTTCTAAATTAAATTAAAAGTTTTAATCAAAAATCTGCAACCATGTAACGTCGTAACATATGTTAAAATTATAATGTTTTTTAATATTTAAATCCACCAAAAAAAATTATTATGTATAACCGGAACAGATTTTAAATAAATATCTAGATTTAAAAAAAACCTAAACTGTTACAGTGACCATTTCATTTAATATCGATGAAAAATCTTTTCATTGAATTTAAAGAGCTTATTTTCTCTACCTGCATTCAGAGCACTCTAGCGTTGAAGATTTAAAACACAGAAAGCACCGGTTGGAATCGCTTTCTTTAGACATTCTTGAACCGGCACGACTGTATTGTACAGTATTGCAGCCTTGTTGGTCCGGTTTGACAGTTAATATGTTGGGAATTTGTGTAAACTGTCTGCTTTCTGCGAAATGTAACAGATAACTGAGGTCTAGTTTGACCCTTGCGTAAAGCAGAGGCCGGGTCGGTCAGCATGTACCAGCCTGTCTCGGAGGCCGGGTCGGTCAGAACGTACCAGACTGCCCTGGAGGCCGGGTCGGTCAACACGTACCAGCCTGTCCTGGCCCTTGTTGTGACAGTTCACCTGTCATAGGTTAAAAAGAAAGCAGAACTCCTAAAGAAGGAAAACAATATCGTAGCTTTCTAATATTTATTCTTCTTAATTCGTATAAATCGTATGAACAAAGACAGTATTCAAATTATTAAAAACATGAGGAAGCTTAAATTATCTAGTATACGGGTTCATTTTAGATTTTGTATTTATCGTTGTAATAAATTTTCATTTGGTTTCATTTGAAATATTTTAATATAATTCCAAAATTATGAACAAGATATATTAAACAGTATTCTCTCTCCTGCAGTTTAATTTACTTCTGAGATAAAACAGCTTGATTTCAAACCTAACAGTAACTACTGTTTGAAAAGGTTATTGGATTGTTTACGGGCTCCAGAAGAATATTCTAAACGATTGGTTTGATAAATCGTTGGTCAGATTAATAATTTTGCTTAACATAAAAAAGAAAACTATTATGTTCACATGTTAAAAATATCCGAAGAGCACTTTTAAAGTAAAAACCTTAAGTTTGTAAAAACAATGCTCATCCATAACGGTAACCCACTGAGTTACCATAAATAAAGGAATTGAGTCTTTGTCACAAAATCTGATTTTCTATTCGCTATATCTTTGCAACCGATTGCTGAAGACCTTAGATATTTCAAACTATGAATTATGTTAGCTCAAATAATCTAATTTTGAAATATTAAAGGTTTACACCATCAGATTGCAAAGATATATATATATTAGAAAATTTAAGTTTGTGGTAAAGACTCAATTCCTTTATCTTCTAAACTCGGTTCGACGTTGAGTTTCGACCACTTGGCCTGTAGTGATACATTACTACAGACATGTTATTACACTTTTTTGGTAACCTTTACAACTAGGGTTTCCAACGTAATAGAGTATTCACTCACGTGAAAATACGTACAATTACGCGAAATAATTTTCATTTCTTTCGTATACATAATTAACACGTAATTTCATGAAATGATGCCCAGTAAATGAAAGAAAGCGTAATTACATGTAATTACGCGAAACATAATAACGACTGGAAACCCTATTTAGAATGCAAATTTTAAAACTATTGGAAGAATATTGATATATTATATATATATATATATATATATGGGCGCGAAGCGCCCTAAAACCCTAGTGTAACATAAATATAAAACATAAATTAACAATAAACATATTAATAAACATATTGATTACAGCTTTCATTTATATAATTTAAATTATTTAGAGATTCTCTTCTTTAACCAAGAACTATAGAAGAATATTATAGATGTTAAATAGTATTTGAGTTTATGATGGGTTTGTATTGGGCAGGGTACTTAGTATTCAATCTGGGTTCTCTCATCATATCCTTTTCCATCCCGTCACTAGCTAATTGTTAGAACTTGAGAACTAGATTCTCCTCCTTTCTCTCTCGTATTGCAACCCAGCTTGTAAACAAAACCTTGCTGAAGCCACAACTCAGCCATGGGAAAACGGAGGGTCCAGCGCCCCCCCCCCCCTTATACCCCTATAGTCCCCTTGAACCCCTTCCCCCCCTGTCCCAGTCCCCGCTACGGAATGGTTGAATATGCAAATGAGCCGGAGAGGGGTGTTCGATTCCCAGGCCTGGTCACTAGACTGCCCAGGGTAATTACTATTGTCTCTATACATATGTACATTTATGGACCCCTCTCTTCAACCCTCTTCTCTCTCATGGGAGGAGAGGATGAGATTCAACCCTCTCCCTTCTACTGCCCAACAAACCCACAAACTCAGGCAGTCTATTTAGAACCTTCAGATAGTAGAGGGACCTAGAGCTAGGATTGGTCAAACACTCAGGTCAGTTAATAGCAGAACCTGGAGCTAGGATTGGTCAAACACTCTTGTCAGTTAGTAGAGGAACCTAGAGCTAGGATTGGTCAAACACTCTGGTCAGTTAGTAGAGGAACCTAGAGCTAGAATTGGTCAAACAATCTGGTCAGCTAGTAGAGAGACCTAGAGCTAGGATTGGTAAAACACTCAGGTGAGCTAGTAGAGAGACCTAGAGCTAGGATTGGTCAAACACTGGTCAGCTCTGAGAGGGACCTAGAGCTAGGACTGGTCAATTTGAGATTCCCTTCCTATCAGTTTGCAGCTGCTCTTCAGTCTTCAAACTATACTGGTCAGTTTACTTTTGTTTAGTTTAGTTTAAAATATTTCTAAACCATCATCTAATTACTTCTAAACCATCATCTAATTACTTCTAAACCATCATCTAATTACTTCTAAACCATCATCTAATTACTTCTAAACCATCTAATTACTTCTAAACCATCATCTAATTACTTCTAAACCATCATCTAATTACTTCTAAACCATCATCTAATTACTTCTAAACCATCTAATTACTTCTAAACCATCATCTAATTACTTCTAAACCATCATCTAATTACTTCTAAACCATCATCTAATTACTTCTAAACCATCTAATTACTTCTAAACCATCATCTAATTACTTCTAAACCATCATCTAATTACTTCTAAACCATCATCTAATTACTTCTAAACCATCTAATTACTTCTAAACCATCATCTAATTACTTCTAAACCATCATCTAATTACTTCTAAACCATCATCTAATTACTTCTAAACCATCTAATTACTTCTAAACCATCATCTAATTACTTCTAAACCATCATCTAATTACTTCTAAACCATCATCTAATTACTTCTAAACCATCTAATTACTTCTAAACCATCATCTAATTACTTCTAAACCATCATCTAATTACTTCTAAACCATCATCTAATTACTTCTAAACCATCTAATTACTTCTAAACCATCATCTAATTACTTCTAAACCATCATCTAATTACTTCTAAACCATCATCTAATTACTTCTAAACCATCTAATTACTTCTAAACCATCATCTAATTACTTCTAAACCATCTTATTACTTCTAAACCATCATCTAATTACTTTTCTACTTTTCTAACACATTTCTTCCTAAAAATCTGTTTTTACGTGATCCTCCATTTAACAAGTTACATACACGATTCACAACGGTCTCCTTAACACGTTTGCCTGAGAAAAAGAAATGGAGACATCCCTGTTTTTGTATCTGAAAATCTGAAAATTGATATTTTTCAATTGTGGTTTCTCTGTAGAAGCAACTTGCAAATGAATGCAGCAGAGAAAAGGAAATAAATTAAAATAATTCATTTCTTATTTAATTATATCACTGGGTTTACATTACTTATAATTAATATGTTACAAATTTTATATCATTTAGAAAAAGGAACTGATTACTCGTCTTATACTCTAATTTTATAATCCTTGTATCTTTGCAACATGATGTCGTATAGACTTTGATTGTACATTATTCCAGATGAAAGTAGTTAAAGTTTACACCGTCAGGTTGCAAAGATAATAAAACATTAGAAGTTTTACAAGGATTATACTAAGTATAATATAAATTCTCATTAATTAGATTAATATATTTTACTATATAGTCTAGTTTAGGGAAACTGACAGATAGAAATATTTCTAATTTAATAATTCGTTCCATCCGTCCTGCTCCGGGTTCTTTCTCCAGCTTCTCCGATACATCCCCCTGCCAACATATTTAAGATTCAGATAAATCCCTCTACTCTTTTCCCCCTCCCCCTCTTTCTCCCCTTCTCCTTTTCATTCCTTTCAAACACTGGGTTAAAATTTTGAAGAAGTTAGAAGAGCTTCGTATCTCAAATTCTGCTTAAAAATGTAAATTTAATTTATATTTACTCTCCTTGTATTCCCCTTCTCTTTCAGCCATTTAATCTTTTGGTTCAGCGCTCATCTAGAATTTTCTATAATTTCCTCGCAGATTTTCTTGCGTCTGTATGTTGATCTAAAACGTAAAAACGGCTGAACCAAATAAATCGAATTATATTTTTTCTGTTCTATAAAAGAAACTTATATACAAAACCATCTTCGAGCAATTCTACAGATCAACAAAAAATATAGAAAATCTGAAAAAAATTAGTTTAGATATTTTTTATCGTGATTTGAGTTTTTTTAAGGAGGTTAGAATTTGTCCGCAATGTGCAGTCACGTCATCCATAATTTATAAATTGCAGCTTTTAACGAAAATCAGAAACTAATTCTGAGCATTTAAAAAATGATGAAATGATTATGAAAACAATAGATTTAACTCCATTAACTAAAGGGATTGTAGACATAATTTGAAGTGAGACGATCCTTGAATAGAATAGCATTTCACAAATGTAACCTTGACAGCTAAGGGTCCAGATATTCATCTATCTTCTTTTTGACAACTGACTATTTTCGATTTTGGTTTAAATGTATAATTATTTGACTCATTATTCAAAAACAATGAAGGAGATTAGGGGAATGAAAGAAACGCTTTTAAGGTTGAAAAAACGACGGTATCTTCCACATTAGGCTCTTAAATATCACAAGTTCTTGCAAACTCATTCTCTTTTCATATTATGCCATTAAACTTTTCTTTTTTTTATCCACTCTAATCCACTAGGGGGAAATTTGTCGCTAGTTTCGTGGATTATTTTATCCAGAATTTACCGACGAGTCATCTAGCGACAAACTTGGAAATTTACTAGAGAAAGCGGGGAAAGCAAGTTGTTGTGATAGAAAGAATATGCAAGGGAAATTTTCAAATAAATTGCCCGGGAAAAATCGAGGATGTTAGGGTTTGCTAGGTCCGTGAAATATTTGGGGGTCGCTAGGACCTCCTCTCCGCGTAGAACCAACACGCTTTATATTACCAACTGTTCTCAAATTACAAGTTTAAGCTAATGTTTAACAAAGGAAGAGGATTGAACAAAAATTCTTAAATATTTTAACTTCCATATTCATATTTAACAGATGTTTACTTT